CAGCTCGCTCAAGCGACCAAAGTTACGCTCGAGCGGACTACCTTGTTTTTGAAAATCTGACTAGTGTTTTAAAGCACATTTTGGCATTCTCTTTGCATCTTAGGCATCCTTAAGCCCCAATTAAGACATGATAATGAGGATAAAGATTATAAACACACCAAGATAGAAAAGGAATTAGTTAATTATTTTTCCAGGCAAATATTTTAATGTGTATTCACTATGTGTTTATGTAGATCACGCGCCATAGGCTATCCGATTTGTCTGCTCTGTCCATTTTGCTATTAAAGCTATCTATGAATAACAACTCTGTAAAGCTATATTTAATTATAAGTACTTTTCATAATGATAAGATATGACTGGTTCTATGAAATGCTATTTTATGAATCATTAATCAATATCCAATTTTATGAAATGTACTTGTGGTATCCTTAGTTTATATGACCCTACCCCGGGAGAAACAAATACTGTGGCTTATGTTTATATTGTCCTCGCCTAAGGGAAACAATATTGTGACTTATGATCATACGGCCCTGACTCGGGAAAAACAATATCGTGATTTATGCATGATCCTTGCCTGGGGAAAACAATACTATGTCTACTTGTGCACAAGATATAGACCTTTGGAATCGTCGATACCGACTATGCATATGGGTCCTAGGACCAAGATGACATGATGGCTAATGGATGTACCACATATAATTGCTTATGATTTTCTGATGAGTATATGAATCTGAATCTGTTTCTGTTATGAAATCTGATTTCTGAGATTATTTGGACATCATTCATAAAACCTTTACTCTGTTGTTATTCGCTGGACCGCAGCTCATCGTATTATTTATGTATGTAGGTAATCAGACTTAGAGTTGATTGTCTGCAGTTCTGTTTGTCAACTAGCTACAGTGCCTCCCAAGGAGGTTCCCTTTTTGCAGTGGCCAAGTTTTGGAATCATGTTAAAGATCTTTTGTTTCTTTTGCTAAGTTTGAACAAGCTTTTTGTTTGTCTGTATGTATGAATGGTGACGTAGGTATGACGTCTTAATTATGTAAATTAAGTTTTAATAATTTCAGTTTTTCCGCTAGCCGCTTATTATATATTAATCTGTTCAAAGGCTTTTGGTAATCCTAGGATTACTGATTGGTTATGATGTTATACCTATAATGGTAGGTTTGAGTCGTGACATCCAGCAACTGTGTTGCGTGCCGCCAGAAGATGGCGGAGTAGTTTGGTTTTGTTTAGGATCGAAGCTATGAAGAAAGGAGGAGAAAGAGCTCCAAAGAGATAGAGAGAGAGACAATGAAATGGAGAGAGAGAGAGAGGGGTTTGGTGAGGGGAGCTCCGTGTATACGGTATGATGGGCAATTTAGTTATTTTGTAGTAACTTGTCTTTTAAGACTAAAGTATTTTAGAGTCTGAATATTTAGACAACAATAATTCAAAATTGGATTTATGAACTTAGTGCCCTAATGATATATTGACATATCATTTTTGTCAAATTTTTTATATAAATTTTATGTAAGAATAAAATTTAAATATATATATATATATATATATGTGTGTGTGTGTGTGTATTTTTAAGTTTTAAGAAGTAAAATATGTGCATTTCATAGAGTTTTGATATTTTTAAGTTTTAGGAAGTAAAATACTCATTTTGTTCTAAAATATTAGTCAATTATTTCATTTTTTATTATCTCAAAATATCAGTCAATTTTCAAAAATTAATGAATAAAACAATATGAATTTACTATTTTACATTTCTTTTAAATTTATTAATAACACAAAAGGTATAATTATGACAATTGATATTTTTAAAAATATATACTATTAAAGTGTAATTTTAAAAAATTAATTTTTTTATAGTGCAATAATTATACTATTAAAAAAATTAAATTTATCAAAATCAACTATTATTTTGAGACGGAAGTACCATTGAAATCCAAATTTGTTCAAATTTCAGGACGTGTCGAAGAACGGAATTTTAGCGGTGCAAACCCTGAGAAACAACATAATGGCATCAACCCTATTAGCATCCACCGCCATCATGCTCAGCTCTGTCGTTTAGAAAAATTAACTTTTTTCAAATATAATAATTATATTATAAAAAAAATTAAATTCTCTAAAAAAAAAATCATTATTTTAAGAGAGAGGGAGTATAAAAAAAAGTTAAATACTCCAAAAAAATAAAAAATAAAAACCATTATTTTCAAACCGATGGAGTATACGTTTTGTGGGACCCATAATTATCATCTGAGAGGTGGATCCACTGCTGTGCGTGTCACGTGCGTCTGCCAGAGGGGCACACCGCACGCGATGGCGACACTCGAGCGTCCCCGATGGTATAGTTTACTTGAACAGGGACACAGACGTAATTTCATCTTTTTTGATTGGCTTAAAAAAGCAATCGCTCCGCTTAGTGGGACCTTTCAAAATTCCAACCATTACAACCCTGACACGTCCCGAGCTCACCAAACATATCTTTGTCACATCATCACCCAACCCAAATCTCATTTCAAAATTTCAAATTCCCACTAAAACCAAACTTCCGTCAAGCCCCAGCCGTTAACACTTCAGTCAAAAATTGAATTACACGTTGTCCCGTGCTATGTTTGATTAGAGCATCCGAGCAAGGATCCTCTAGAGTGATTTTTTCCTAAAGTTTCCTAGAGTGCTACATTGTGTGGTTGAGATTTACTGGCAAGTCACATTAATTTTTCTGATGTGACTTGCCAGTAAATCTCAACCACACAATATAGCACTCTAGGAAACTTTAGGGAAATTTCACTCTAGAGGATCCTTGGTGAGAGCATCCTCACCAAAGCCCCTAAATTCCCTCCTTAGACCATCTCCAATGGTGAACTAAACTCAGCATCATATTTAAATTTTGATAAAAAACTCACTTTTTCACGCTCCAACGGTTGCACCAAAGTCATACCAAAATGAGAATTCAGTAAACAAGACATCAAACTGAGATCAAGACACAGATTTTACCAAATCACTGTTACTGACCGTTGAAAGTGATACACCGGTCAACCAACCAGTTGCCCGGTCGGTTGACCAACCGGTCGCCCGGTTTCCTTTAAATTAGGTAGGTTCAAACCGGTCAAAAAAGGTTCAAACAGGTAAAAAAAAAAAAATTTGCCTATCCGGTCGACCAGCCGGTCAACCAACCGGTCACCCACCTGCAAACAAAATAGCGTATGGATTCAGAGTCTTTGGATGAATTGGGAAGGATGAAGACTAATCATCATGCATTGTCTACAACAATCAAAACTACCCTCCACCGGTAGCCCAAGCAATTATTTCTAAACAGATAATAAAAGCTCCAACAGATAAAATATCAATGTTTTCAAAAGTGGGCGATTAACAAATCCAACTCCACTATTTTACCATATAATGAGTCAATTTCATTATTTCCAACTCAATTCCAAATATCAACATTTTTCCCAATTTAATTATACCAATTAATTTATACAACGAATTAGGGCTTTCTCTCCCATTTTTCAATATTGACCCAATGGTCCATATATCAACAATTAACATCAATACCGCTATTTTGAAACTCAAAAAACTCATTTTAGAATCAAAATAATAAAACCCTCTTTGACATTCTGAAACCCTAAGTCCCAAAGTTTCCCAACTTCAACACTTAATCAAAATCACCAAAAATCTATATTAAAGATCATAAAAGTGAGTAGGAATCTCTACCTCAATTTCGGAGCCCAAGAGGAGAAGATGTAGAAAACTAAAATGCTCCAAACTCCAAGATTCACGGATCAAAACGAAGCCCTCGACGATCAACACAACTTTTACAAAGGGCAAAGGGAAAGAAAACACTCTAACTAGATCAAACCCTAGAAAGAAGGGAATTTCTAGAGAGAGAGGCTCTCAAAATATCTTTTTAGAAAGTAAGAGAGAGAGAGGAAGTGTAGAAAGTGATTCAAAAATGCCTAGCTGCCCTCTGTTATACGACATTCCCGCTCGAGCGGAAAACACAACGCTCGAGCGTCAAGAACAAAAATCTGGACACGCTCAAGCGCAGTAAGGCCCGCTCGAGCGCCAAGACACAAGAGTAAAGCACATTCGCTCGAGCGCGAAAACCAGTCCGCTCGAGCGTAGATTTCCCTCTCCCAGAACTTATACCCAGGAAGTACTACCCGCTCGAGCGCCAACAAACCCGCTCGAGCGCCACCGCTCGAGCGTAAACAAACCCGCTCGAGCGCAAAAATCACATTTGCAAAAGTTTTGCAGGAACCCGAAATACTGGAGGTGTGCAATAGCTGCTCGAGCGCAAGAAGACCCGCTCGAGCGGATCGCCTAAAAACTGAACAACAAGGAATTGAAACCAAGGCCTAACCAACCTGTAACAACCCTGTTCAAAACATCCTAAAACTCAATCAAGTGGAATTAAAGGACGACAACAAGATAGATACCACTACCAACTTCACGGAACCGAGTTCGGAATACAACAAAACAGTAAAGTGACGACCGGGATCGCTATAATCCCAGTGAAGCAATCGAGCCATTGAATTGATGCTTGACATGACGTAAAAGCTTCCTATCAAAGTGCTCAAATAGATCACCCACAAAGTGAATAATATGATCAAACTCAATAAAACGGTAATCTTACAAAATTATATTAATAAATCATTTTTGAACCAGACACGTGAAAGGCCAAAATCCTTAACAAATTCAACCGTACTATCAATATATTATTTCTTGTCTAATTTTAAATATAAATTATTAAATTAAAAAAAATTGAATCATAAATAGTTATAACCAAACCAAACCAAACGAAGCCTTAAGTCCCATCAAATGGAGTCGGCTACATGAATCCTTCTTCTCCACGCGGCCCAATCATAAATAGTTATAGTAGAAAAAAATTAAAGGTCAAAATAAGAAAATGACGAAATAAAATGTAATTTATCCAAAATCAAACGGAGTTAACAGAAACAGCTATGTCCCTCCTATATATGTATATATAATATATCACTTTACCCTAATTTCATCACTCAAACTGTCCATCTCTCTCCTCTGTGCTTTTCACACTCTCTCTCTCTTTCTCTGCAACTCTCTCTCACTCTCTCTCTCTCTCCCTCTCCCTACAAAGATGCGTGAGATTCTGCATATTCAAGGAGGCCAATGCGGGAACCAGATCGGAGCGAAGTTCTGGGAAGTGGTATGTGCAGAGCACGGGATCGACTACAGCGGCAAGTACAACGGTGACTCCGATCTACAGCTCGAGCGAGTCAATGTCTACTACAACGAAGCCAGCTGTGGCCGCTTCGTTCCCCGAGCCGTCCTCATGGATCTCGAACCGGGCACCATGGACAGCGTCCGCTCCGGTCCCTACGGCCAGATCTTTCGACCCGACAACTTCGTCTTCGGCCAGTCCGGCGCCGGCAACAATTGGGCCAAAGGTCACTACACCGAGGGAGCCGAACTCATCGACTCGGTTCTCGATGTCGTTCGCAAAGAAGCAGAGAATTGTGACTGTCTCCAAGGTAAGAATTGTAGTACAAGCAAGCTAGATCTGATCTGGCAACAACAACAACAATGGATACCGATTAGATAGATCTGGCTTCTACTAGAAATCTTCTGATCTAGTAGAAGCTAGATCTGATCTGTTAATAGCAATGCTTAACGCTAAATGTGTTTGGGATGGATTTAGGGTTTCAGGTGTGTCATTCGTTGGGAGGAGGTACTGGATCGGGGATGGGGACACTATTGATATCGAAGATTAGGGAGGAGTATCCGGATCGGATGATGCTGACTTTCTCCGTGTTTCCGTCGCCGAAGGTGTCCGATACGGTGGTTGAGCCTTACAACGCCACGCTCTCTGTGCATCAGCTAGTTGAGAACGCCGATGAGTGTATGGTTTTGGACAACGAGGCTCTCTATGATATTTGCTTCCGTACACTCAAGCTCACCACTCCCAGCTGTAAGTTTCTATCTCTAATTACCACAATCAAATGAATATTTTATTTTGATTTTGATTTTGTTTTGTATTTTTACTTTTCTCAGCAATCAAACTCTACCGAGTTGGTTTTTATAATTTTCTCTTTTACATGTAAATTTAAACAGAATTTAGTAGTGTATATACTTAATAGAATGAGGTGTTTTTTGTTTCTTGATTTGAACGCGGTAGTTAGTGGTGTTCTGAATGTTGATTCTGATTGGAGTGGTTAATTTTTCGGTATCAAGTTCATATCGTATTTTCAATCAATAATGCAGTGAGAATTTTTACGGGTTTATGAAAAAATTTGACTCGCTTTTGTTAGTTAGTTATTTAGTTAGTTGTGAGACTTAGAGATATGATTCGCCTATGTTCTGTGATTCTCTATTTGTTTATTACGTAGTAACTTTGGAACTACCGAATAGAGTTGTTTACCAAATCCGAGAAGTTTGCAAACATATTTCCCAAAGTCTGTTGTATATTTAAACTTATCTCTTAAACAATGCACCTCCCTCATCTCTTGTTAGTCATATAGTGCATAACTTTAAGATTAAATTTATTTTTATAAAATGAAAAATTGTATTAAATTTATTATTGACTTTTTGAAATTTTGACCTAGAAGCATGTTTAAGAATACTATTTTATGAAACATGAATTTTTTAAATAAATTGAAAGCATTTGTTACTGAAAAATAAGATTTGAAATCATTTGGGTTTTGTGAAATAAATGTGAAGTCACGTGATGATGAGTCAAAGATTCTTTTCTATCTTCTTTGCACAAATACAGTTGTGATTTCACGAGTCTCTCTTCATCTTTCCTGCCCTTGGAGGAGGAATATATGCATGTGTATTTTGCTCTCTGACAGCTTGCTTGTGTTGTATTATTTTCTGTATGATGTGTGATACAAATGTTATATGATATATATTAATGTTATGCCATTTTCATCATCTAAAGGAACTATAGACAACAATTTACTGTGATTTTATGTTTTGGGACTTGAGTTCTATAACAAAATGTGATCCAGGTTTAGTAACCATTTTAACTTTGGAGACTAATGTTATTGTTTTGATCAGTTGGAGATTTGAACCATTTGATTTCTGCCACCATGAGTGGTGTCACCTGTTGCCTCCGGTTTCCTGGTCAGCTGAACTCTGATCTCCGCAAGCTTGCAGTCAACCTCATCCCATTCCCAAGGCTCCACTTCTTCATGGTTGGCTTTGCACCGCTCACATCTCGTGGGTCTCAGCAATACCGTGCCCTCACTGTTCCTGAACTCACCCAGCAGATGTGGGATGCCAAGAACATGATGTGTGCTGCTGATCCTCGTCATGGCCGCTACCTCACAGCATCAGCCATGTTCCGTGGCAAAATGAGCACCAAGGAGGTCGACGAACAAATGATCACCGTTCAGAACAAGAACTCATCGTATTTCGTTGAGTGGATCCCCAACAATGTGAAATCAACTGTTTGTGACATCCCTCCAACCGGTCTGAAGATGGCTTCGACATTCATTGGTAACTCAACCTCCATCCAAGAAATGTTCAGGAGAGTCAGTGAGCAGTTCACTGCTATGTTCCGTAGGAAGGCTTTCTTGCATTGGTACACTGGAGAGGGGATGGACGAGATGGAGTTCACGGAAGCTGAGAGCAACATGAATGATTTGGTTTCCGAGTACCAGCAGTATCAGGATGCAACTGCGGATGAGGAAGGGGAGTATGAAGAAGATGAGGAGGCCTATCATGATGAACCCTAAGAGACAAAAGACTAGTGTCTGAAATATAAGCCTCTTTGGTCAGTGGAATATGTGATTTTGTTGTGTAATGTGTTCTAATATTATGGGATTGCTTTGTTTTTCAATGTTGGATCCCAGTCTCTAGTGGGTCTGCTGCTGTCTTTGCTTTAAGATGTCATTCTCACAAATTATTGGCTTATGTTTTCTTGTTCTCAAGTACTAGTTTTCTATGCTAAAAATGGTCATTGGCTGTTCTCTGTTTTTGTGTTACGATTAGCTGAATTTGATTGCTTCTTTTTGTGAACCATCATATTCTTCTCAAGTCCACTGCTGTCTACCAGGCATTGCTATATATTCAAGAAAAAAAAATGTTTAGAATTTTAATTATGTGGATTAAATTTATTTATGGTATGGTATACATTTGGGAAGTTATTGGGTATTTCTAGAGATGTCATGCTCTAGGTATTATGATTGGTAAAAAAAGTAAGATTTATGATTTTGTATCAAGTGATTGATAAATATGAGGAGCTACAGTAAATAATGATTAATAAAAGAGTATGGATAGTGTTTTGGAAATAGCCAATAATTTTTTGGTATACACATACACTAGATTTAAATTTATATTATATATTTAAATTTTGAATATGCTATTTTAGATACATAACATTTTTATAATAATATGCCCAAGAATTAATATCCATATGGATGCTACTATTTGTGATTGAGTAATGCTATAGATAAAACAAATTTAAGGGTTGTTTGGGATGACCTAAATAAGTGTATTTTTTGTCTTTTTACAAAAAGATGTACAGAAAAATAGGGATGTGATGTGATGAAAAAAAGATAAAAAGATATATTATTTTAAACTTCCCAAACTTGACCTTCTTACTAGACGTAACCATTTGAGATTCTCTATTGCTAGAGTCCAATGAAGAATATGAAGTATGTACTAAGCTAAGTGAATAATAACTAGAATTTTACCCTTCCATGTCATGTAGAGATCTCGATAATGCCACCCCCACCAAGAATGTTTGGATCAGTTTCTTACTTTACCAAAAAAAAGAAAAGAAAAAAAGAAGTTGAAATGCATGCTGCTGTTCAGCAAAGTTTTGGCAAAGTTTCATGCGTGCAAAGGGGAAACGAGAATGGCACCGTAAAAGGAAACTTAATTGTCATTTCACGACCAAGAGCAAATATTATTTGCCAAAAGAGGACTAACATTAATCAAGAACTAATAATGTACCTATAATTTAATGGAATCCCAAAGTATACAGTAAAATTCCTATGTCGCTGCAGTTGTTCAGAGTGGGAGGATTCCATCAAGCAAAAACTAGCATACCTTTCATTTAAGGAAGGAGTCCCAAAGTACGCCCAGATCAACGTTGCCCCCTGAAAGTATAATTCCTATGTTGTTGCAGTCCTTCCACGCTAGATTGTTCCTAAAGTCATCGGACAGAACGGCTGCAAGGCCTATGGCGCCACTAGGCTCCACCGCAACCTTCAGAATCTCATAACAAAGTCTCATCGCTTCTATTATGTCCTTATCCTCCACGGTAATGATGTCATCAACAAAATCTCGTACAATAGGCCTGATTCCAATAAAAGACAGTTAGGTCTCCAAGACATTTAGTTGCAATAATTCGGATTTAAATGCACAACCTAGATAGCAAGGATCAATTCTGCAGAACAAGTAGAAAGTTAAAAGCGAATAAATTGCATCAAATGCTGTGTATGACATGTACAAAGCATCTTAAAACTACAAAAGAGTATGGAACTTTTTTTTATATGAAATTGATACAAAATTGTATGCCACGCCCAGAGGGGTGGGAGGTCAGGGAGGATGGAAGAGGGGTTGGGGAGGGCAGAGGAAGGTGGAAGAGGGGCTGCCAGCGCCAGGGAGAGGTTAGCTAGTGGTGGGGTTAGGGTTTGCAAGGGAGAGGGAGAGAGAAGATAAAATGGGAAGGGTATTTTGGTTATTTTATAAAATTCTCACCTATTTGTAATAATTGTTCATCCTTCCATGTCTACTAAAATTATTTTTCATACCCCAACATTTTGTAATTAATTTTTCATCTTCCCATTTATTTGTAATTCTCCTAAAAAATTTAGAAAATGTAATTGATACAAAATTGACCAAACGTAACAGCTATGAAGCATAGATACTTCGAAAAACTTGCCGTACACGTACCGGGTATTTACCCGCTTATGGTACTTCATATGGTACTTCTGCATACGTACCGAGTATACGAAACACATACTCAAATTTTGTCTTCTTAATTTTTGGCGTACTCAGACGTACCTAATATATACCCAAGCCGTATCGTTCCTTAGTTGAAACAATATTTTTTTTACTACAGAGATAAAACTCTTTTCCCTAGACTTCTTTTTTATTTTTTGTTTTATGCTTAATATGATTTTAAAATTAAACTACGATTTGTAAATTATTTAATATATTGACATTTAATTTTGATTTATACCTTTACTTTTGACATTAAATGTTAATTTTAGGTTGGATCTTAACAAATTAAAACATTTAATTAATTTTTGCATTACTCTAAATTAAAAATAAATATTTTTTTACGAGCGTACCAAGCCGTACTTGTACCCTATTCTTTTTGAATTTTACAATATCGACATACCCTTATTGTACCAGTACTAATACTCGTATCCGTACTCATGCTTCATAGCGTAACAGTAAATAAATTTGGAGAGCCATGAATAAATAGACAAAGTATAGGTTTTCTTCTACACATTGTTTTGGTTACATAGTTTTGGCCTTACCAGGTAAGATCTCCAAGAAAAGCTCGAAGGCCGTCAGCAATGGTGTTTGTCTCAGGCAAAGTTATAATTCTACCGGCTCCTTTAGATGAGCCGCCTGATTCATTGCTCCCTTTGGTTCAGCAGCCAAAAACTCGAATTGCAAGGGTTGATGGACTTGGCAGCCAATGCCACCCCCGATATCAAACCGCCTCCTAAAATTTTCATTTGTAGAAAGAAAAACAGAGATTAACAAGAAAAACAATGTATAAGATGAAATGTGAACTTGACACCTCAAGTTATTGACCAAACCACTTATAGGAACTATTATAGTGTCTATCTGTGGGGCCTGCTCCAGAAGCTCCAGCGATATGGTGCCTTGTCCACTGCCAACCAATGCTTAATGTTATTATGTATCAGGAGAGAAAAAAAAATAGAGGACAATGTTGTCCAAAAAATGCTAATACCGTAGTGATTTACATTTTGAAATGCATGTTCTGAAATGATAAATTTAGTAATCCAAAACTATCTCAAATTTTTCCCTATTTATTTCCTTAATGCTGTGTTTGGATCCTGGATTTGGGTAAGCATCTATGTTACACAGACTCGGGTGCAGGTATTGGGTGCGGGTACGTATCTAGGGGTCGAGTACTTCAAAATTAAAAATTGAGGATACGTGGATACGAATCCAAACGAGGATACAGGTACGGGGATACGTTAAATATTTAATTTTTAAAATATGTTTATTATATAAAGATAAGTTAAATAGTTATTTTTTAAATATATTTATTATTTTTATCGTATGTATTACTTTTATTGATAATTTTTCTGATTTATCTATATAATTTTTTTTTACTTTTAATTGACATATATATTATAAATAACAAAAATTTTATTTTATATTATATAATATATGTATTTTTTTATTAACTGTTATAAATATAAGTATTATATATTATATAAGTATTATATATTATTTACATATTATATATTATATATATTATAAGTATTATATCTTATATCTTCGTATTATATCTTATATCTTCTATTCTATACATATGTATAAGATAAGACAGAGGCAAAAAGGAGAGAGAGAGAGAGAGAGAGAGCGAAGGCGAGAGACGCGATCTGGTCGAAGAGGCGATCGAGTGAGAGACGTGACTGGTTCGAAGGTCATCGACTGGTTCGACTGGTTCGAAGGTCATCGAAGTCGACTGCTGCGACTGGTTCAAAGGTCATCGAAGTCGACTGGTTCGAAGTCGCCGATCAGGATCCTCTCGCCGACCAGGTTTCTTTCTCTTCTCCTTTACTCTACGTCTTCTCTTCCATGCCGTATCCACTTTTTCCATGCCGTATCCCGTCTGGATCCCGTACCCGTACCCGTGTCGTGTCGTGTCGACACGGATACTTCGCCAAAACTGACGAGTCCGTGTAACGTAGGTAAGCATTTGGAAAAGGAAAGAGAAAATATGAGGGAAATGTTCACACTTTTTTCCTTTTACTTTCCAAATCATTATCCAAATCCATGATCAAAACACAATCTAAAGGTTTCCTTGGAGGGAAAAACAAATAAATATAATGAAGTAAAATTTAGGGAGAGTTGGAGCTTTGGAAGAACAAAATGAAAATAAATGGATTATAATGCTCCTAGAAATGTTTCTTTTACATTGTCAGTTTAAAAAATTATACTATATTATATTTTATTAGATGTCTAATCTTTAAAAGAAAATTCCTCTAGGAGTACCTTAAATACTAATATTGTAATCTATACAAGTCTACGCCTACGTTACGTGGACTCGGGTATGAGTGTCAGGTGCGAGTATGTATCTAGATGTCGGACTTGACAAACCTTTAAATGAGGGATACGCAGGTACGTCTAAAAAGTACCAAAAAATTAGACACTGGTACATAGATACGGCTAAATATGGATGTGTCAAAAAAATATTACGCATTTTTTAGGCATCGCACTAAAATATAAAAATTATTTTAGGCATAAAATAATTTATATTAATATGATTTTATTATATATATATATATATTGAAAATAGATGATTTATTTTATATATATATACTAAATAAAATAATAATTTATGTATATAATTATTTTATAATATAAATAATTTATATTATATATCATTTTTTGTTATCAGTGAGAGAGAGAGAGAGAGAAGACAGATCAACGAGAGAAATCAAAAGAGGACAAGAAGAAAGAGATCGAGAGACGAGAGAAGACGATCGAGAGAGTAGCATCTAGCGAAGAAGATGAGATTGAAGTCGAGCGAAGAAGATGAGATCGAATATGAGATCGAAGTCGACAAATCGAGATCGAGACCGAGCATCGAGCAAAGAAGATGAGATCGAAGTCGGCGATTAGGTTCTCTCTTTGCTCTCTCCTCTTTTGTTACTTCTGCCATATCCATTTGTAAAGAGCCGTATCCCGACTGTATCCCGCACCCGTGACGTGTCGTGTCGACACGGGTACCTTTGAAATTCCAAAGAGTCCTTGTAACGTAGGTCTACGCCTATCATACCCTCTTTTTTTTTTCTTTTAGATGTGTCACTATCATATCACATTTTAAAGCATACGGTGTACCACGTTCTAGTTCTTGTTTCATGTACTGGAACAAGGTCATAGGCTAAGAAAGACTTTCAAGAAATGGAAGAGAATCCCCTATAGGGAATCATGAGAAAAATCAAGAATATTATGGAGGACATTCACATGACAAAATTCCATGTAACCGACAAAAATACAAAATAAATGCAAGTTAGCACCTTATGATGCGTCCGTCATTATATGGATGAACAAAAACTGCACCGGTTTCTTGCAACACTTTGGTTGCCATGTCCTCCCTTGACCTCATAGTGGGCTCACTCCAAATAACCTGGCCATTGTAACGTATGACATTCTCAACTTTGCATTTTGGAGCATTTTTGGTATTACAATGTATGCTGCAATGCCCCGTAGTTTCGCAGCTAAAGATATTGCTGCTGCATGGTTACCACTAATTTTGAAGGACGTAATTAATCAGTGGACATTCAAGGGGGGAAAAATCAAAATCAACATTATGGGATATTGACAGGCGCAGAGCAAACCTGCTGTGAGTTACGACCCCTTTAGCTGCTTGATCATCATTGAGTGAGAATATAGCATTGCATGCACCACGAAATTTAAATGCTCCACTGATAAGCAACAGGGGAGAGGACACAAAGAAAGGCCTTAAGTTTCACGGAAAGCTATTTGAAGGTGAATAGAAAATAGTAAGAATGCAAAATCATACTTCACTTGGAAAATAAGTAGAAAATAACGTCATCATTTAGCTTCTCACCCTTTTTGAAAACATTCACATTTAAAGTGTAGCTTCCTTCCAGCAATAGAATTAAGAGTTTCTGAGGAGAGGACTGGTGTTTTGTGTATGAATGGACTGATGCGTACTTGCGCTTCTCTTATGGAGGAAATATCAGCAGCATACTTCTCATCTCTCATTTGGCTCTTTGTTTCCATTGGCACACCTCTTCTGAAAGAGTTTTGGTCTTGCAGGTGGTTGGGATTGGATCAATAACTTTCAATCACTCCAAAGACTTTTTATAGGATATCTAATTATTAAAAAAAAAAAATGCCAAACATTGGCATCTATTCAGAAAAATATAGAATGGGAACTTGGTAATTAAAAAAGCCATGTTTTACAATAGGAAAAACTGAGTAAAGGGAATTAGAAAGAGTGAGACATGCATGATGAATGCATCAGTATGTGGGTGGTGGGTAAACATGAACCTAAATCACAAATGCCATTGACACCCACTATTGCCCTCATAATTTCATAAATGTCATTGACACATCATTCTAGATGTGTTTTTTGTGTAAGTTTTCTATTTGCAAGTCACTTTCCAATTACAAATGAGTATATAGGAGTGGTTTCAATAGTCTTAACTTTTGAGTCTAAAGAAATAAAACATAAGCCGACTTAGTGACTAATGATTATGAATCACACACCTAGTTCTTGTTGGACAGAAGTTTGTATTTCTGAAAGCATCTCCAATCCTTCATTTTTTTCATGAATAAGTGCTAAAAAATCATCTCCAATCCTTTCATCAAATCAAGAGAAAGTTATCTTTTTCATCAAATTGAGAAATCATCAAATATAAATTCGATGAAAATTTAAAAAGATGAAGCATTGGAGATGTGTTTTTTTATCAAATTTAATGAAAAGTGAAATTTGAGATAAGAGGGGAGTATTTTATTTATTATTTTAATTTTGAAGAAAATTTGATGAAAGGATTGGAGAATTCATATCAAATCAAGCTTTTTACTCAAATTTGTAATCAAATTATTTGAAAAAATTGGTGAAGGTTTGGGTTGGAGATGCTCTTAATCGCTTCCAAAAATATATATATAATGTTGATAAATGATAATTAAAGGTCAAATATAGTCTCTGCACATGCTAAAAAATACATTCTCTAGGGTGTCTCATCTTATGCAAATGTTCAAAAACACAAGCTCATCATTATTCTTCCCTAGATGGGTTAAACCAGTGCCAAAAAAAGAAGAAAAAACAAAATCAGTCAAAGGGTTTTTTGTTTGTAGCAAAAGAAAATTGACAAATTCCTAATCTCCAAAAGGGTTTTTCCCTACTCTTCTTCCCCAATATCCCACTCTCAATTTAGACATATAATTGAATAATTATGCAATTGGAACAATTCACCATGATAAGAACTCTAAGTTCTCTAAGAGCAGAGCAATTTGCACTTTAAATAGTTTCAAATTTCAAACAATTACTGTCAAATATTTTCATAATTATCTCCAAGTTTTTACAATCGAAACTGAAATCAAATGCGATAGAATGAATCAAACTTACAATAGTAGCCAGTAAGAAGATATTTCAATCACCAAGCGCATTCACTCCTTCACTTCTCTGCTCTAACCAATTGATTCTCTCTCTCTCTCTCTCCATTTTCATGGCATCTAATATAAGCAGAACGTATTTTTACCATTTTGGCCTCCGAAGCTAATGAAATAGTAAAGGATTGTTCTATTACAGAAAATTTAATCAAAAAAATCACCATTGAAATTCATTTTAAATATAAAACATGGATCACTCATTACTATTTTGGATAAATTTCTTGATGATTTGTGTGATTTCTTAGCTTTACTGATTTCAAACCCCAGGAGAGATTGAATTTCCAAACACCCCCCCCCCCCCCGTCCCTTTTTTGGTGCAAGTAGTAACATAAAATGTTTAAGCTAATAACAACTCCATTCGGAGACACAAATAATTTTTTTTTTTTTTTTCTAAAAAGTGCAAGATTTTTTTTTAAATATTTTATTTCAAAATACTTTACATTAATTTTGAAACTCTTCTAATATTTGACTATCTTTTGTTATATTAAGAAAAATTATTTAATAGATCTGATTTATAACGTGATTGTGTATTCACTCAACAATAAAAAACAAAAACAAACATTGATTGTCTAAAAAAATGGAACAAAATGATTATTTGTTATCCGATTATTCAAACAACATACCACACATGTTAGAGGTCAAACTTATTCGATAATTTATCATCAAATTGGGAGACACCAACAAAATTGATACTCCTTTTCCAAAAGCTAGCCCATAATTAGTGTATATGATCACTCTAATAAATTAATTTTATGGAAGATATGAAAGGGTTAGCTTTCAGTTTTGGTTTCTAGTTAATTAAGTTCCTTTTACTGGAAAAAAATTATAAAAATGAATGATTATGCTGGCAATCCATTAAGATCTCTCTCTCTCTCTCCCCCCTACAAAATCTTGAACAAAACCAAGGTTCATAATCTTAAACAATGCCAATCTGGTGGGCTTTTATTCAACACATGCACAAGTTCCACTACAAATTTCAAAAAAACAACATAAAAAGTTCCGAGTACAACAGTCTTATGCTTGGCTGTGTCTACATTTCCTTTCACCATATGATCACAGGGCCCGGTACCAGATAGAGAGTACTACAGATTTGAAACATACATTTCATAACAGTACTCACATCTTCGACTGCAATGAAGTTTTTATACTAGAATTGGTTGCATTATTAGCTCCCAACAACTGCTGCTTTTGTAGCTTTGCTTTCACTTTGAAGAGGATTCCATGCGTTTCCTCAAAATGAGGCCTCGTTGCGCGCTTCGTATCTTCCATCCACTGCTGAACTTTCTTGTATGGATTTAATATTCGATCACGATCCTTCTCTTCCAAAACCTGATTCCAAACAATTTTTCCTTCAATGAGATCTTAAGATAATTCTCCAACTTTTTCACATACATAACAAAATAAGTTAGACAAAAATTATAATGATCATGTTCCATCCTTCATCCATTGGTCAACGAAATCGTAACATAGTCCTTGTCATGGTCATGGAATCAATTCATCTAGGATCAGAATTTCAGAAATGCATGCTCTAACCAAAAGTATAGATCCAAATGTCCAAGACAATCTAGATGGTAAACCCTAGCTGTATTCAGAGCCAGCCATAGGCATAGGTGAGCAAGGCTGACACCTAGGGCCCCCAAATTTTTGCTATGAATTAGGGCCCCCCAAAAATCTGGCCCTTATACTTGGTCCATAAAAAATTTGTTTACATATTAGGCCTCGAATAAAAAGGGTCCAATTCTACATTATGCAAGTTTAGTTAGTAATTTTGCAGTTCAAAATGAGAGGAAAGTAACGTTTATGTAATAGTTACAATTTGTTCGATTTTTATTTGATGACAGTTTTAAATTATTTTAGTGTCTTTCCTTAACTGAATTTTTCTATTCATGCAAGTACATTTTAGTACGTAATATTGGTAAATATATGAAAGATTTTTTTTTTGTGTGTGTGTGTGTATGTGTGCATGTGTGCGTGAATATATGAAGGACTCTATGTTAGGACTTCATCTAGGGCCCCAAAAACTGAAGGCCAGCCTTGTCTGTATTGATTTCTCAATGACATTTTCCTTAAAACTTTTCATTCTCCAAGTTCAAAGTTGAATATTTGTTTTCTTTTTTAATTTTTTTATTTGGCTAGGCAACTTCAAAGTTGATGAACTTCTGTATTTTTTAAAATGATACACACCACACACAAACATAAATATTATTACCAACATAATTTTAATTATTTACCTCTAGTTGCATTATTTCACAAACTAGGCTCAGATCTGCTACGGATGGTTGAGAGCTTCCCAGCAAAAACCGACCATTCCCCTTCAACCAAATAGATTCAATCTTTGCAAGTGATGCAAACAATAGTTTTTCACCTTCAGCAGCAGCTTGTGGATTCAATTGAAGGCCAAGCGCAGGTGCAAGCGTAGTATTTAGAACATAAGTAGCTGAAAAGGAAAGATCAATCAAGAACGACATAGACCTTAGAAAACATAAATAAAAGGGTGAAAAATTACTATACCAAAACATTGGGAATAAAATACCTGCACCACGGCGTAAATTAGAGTGATGCCAATCCAACACTGATTCGATCTTTGACCTTTTGAATAGATCAGATGGATACCTTTAAGAATTAACAGAAAACATTGTTAAGAACCAGGCTGCAGAATATAAATATTAGAATCTGTTAGGTCCCTTTATTGACAAATCCTCATACAAACTCTGTTTTGAAAAGTTGTAATGTTTCCTTGTTTTTTGACTTTCCCGCTCGAGCGGGACCATTGGCGCTCGAGCGTAATATGTGCTATCTCAGTAGTTGGTCGTGTCTGTAAACATATTGAGAAGTGTGATTTTGCGCTCGAGCATGTGTTCCAGCGCTCGAGCGGAAACCTGTTTGGTCACACGCATATTTTACTGAATTCGCTCGAGCGGGCTGTCATGCCCACGAGCGGAGATCGCGACCTCTGTTTTCTATATATATCTGTTTTAGGCTAATTTTAGGGTTTACTTTTTCCGAGATCTTCTTTAAGAGTCTTAGGGTTTCTTTTGAAGTTTTGCTCTAAAGTTTTTGTGAGTTTTCCTTGACATATTTGAGAGGGTTTGAAACCTATGATCTAAGATACATACATCAAGGAGTTTGTTTCTTAATATTCAAGAGTGTTCTTCTTCGGTGAAATCCGAAGGTTCAAGCGTGGAGCATCAAAGGAGTTTGATACTGTACATGGTCGTTGATTCGACATTAGAAGTTGTGGATTCAACTTCATACTGATCAATTCCGAGACGAAGGTTGTGGTGAAAGATTTTCAGAAGGCTTGAAGACAAATTTGATGCGTTTGGTAATTTGTTGGTTGTCTTTGTAATCTTTCTTTTCTTCAGTAGTGGATTGATTAGTAGCATTTCGCTCGTGATTTTTTATTACAATTGAAGGTGCTTCAATTGTGATTTTTCTACGTAAAAATCGTTTGTGTCAATTTATTGTTTATTTCGAAAACAACAATTTAAATCACTTTCGTAGTGCTTGTTGATTTATATTGTGTATTTTGATTGTTTGGAAATTAGAATATTTAAATCTTGATCTAATCATGAATCACTTAGGATTTTCAATTGGTATCAGAGCAGATCACTCTTTGTTTTTTATCAAAACTATAGAAGTGTGATTTTGTGTGATTGGCGATATGGATTCAATTCGTGAAGGTAACTCGACCCATAGACCTCCGTTACTTGATGGTACAAACTATTCTTATTGGAATGCTCGTATGAGAGCGTTTTTAAAATCCATCGATAAGAAAGTTTGGCATTGTGTGCTCTATGGGTGGAGTGAACCTACTGTCACCATTGATGATATTGAGATTCCCAAACCCCTTGATAAATGGGACACAACCGACTATCAAAACTCGAGTTGGAACAGCAAGGTTCTCAATTCCCTTTTTTGCTCCGTCACACTTGAAGAGTTTCGTCGTATCTGCACGTGTGAGGTAGCAAAAGAGGCGTGGGACATTCTTGAAACAATTCGCGAAGGTACTACTTCTGTCAAAAGGTCAAAACTTCAACGTCTCACCTTTGCCTTTGAAACCTTTTTTATGCGTGATGATGAGACGTTTGATGATTTCTATGCAAAACTTAGTAACATCGTGAATTCCTGTTTCACACTTGGTGAAAAAATCCCTGAAGCTAAAGTTGTTGGAAAAATTTTGAGGTCTTTACCCGAGAGGTTCCAATCAAAAGTGACAGCCATTGGAGGCTCAGAATGTTGATACCCTCAAGCTTGATCAGTTGGTTGGAAACTTGCAGACTTATGAAGCCCACCAGATTTCTAAAAAAAACAAAAAACACAACTATAGCTGTTAAAATCCACCTACTCTCCACCTACTTCATCCACTAAACCTAACCCACTACACCACTACCACCTCCACTTCACCACTACCACCTCCACTTCACCTACTACACACTCACCCTCTTCTATTTATAGGAATCATGAATCATTGTAATAAACATCAACATATCAATCAATAATACAATTCTCTATTTCTCTTTATACATTAAATTTCTACAATAGCCAAAGTATATCAAAGTATCCAAACCAAACCACCAAATATCCAAACTGTATCATCCACCAAATATCCATACTGTATCATCAAACATTCAAAAATTCTCCCCCTTTTTGGCCGGGAGACAAAGAGTAAAACAGTCCAACAAACAGAGATCTGTGTCAAGCATCAGGGGGAAGAGAAGGCTGCTAGATCTGAAGCAAAGAGATAATATGAGCGAGCTAAGTAGTAGTCTGGACGGCGGACTACTCCAACTGTCCAAGGCGGCCATCGAAGGCATCAAACCGAGCATCCAAAAAATCCAACCGCTATGTCACAACCTCCTCGAAATGTCAAAGCTGGTCATGAAAAGTCCGGAGTGGAACATCATCCTCAGCACCAACTGTGGCAGTATCAATCTCTGCCTCCTCGGCAAATCCAGCTGCTGTACCTGCGGAAGTACCAACCCTATAAGACTCCCCCTTGACATGTGCACGACTCTGGGAAACAGTCTTCTTAGTGAAGGGCCTAGATGGAAAGGTATACTCATCATCATCTAAAACTGGGACTTCAAGTCAGGACAAGAGACGGTTGATTAAACAACCATAAGGGAGACCTAATTACTTGTTACCAAAGACAACAATCATCTTACGAAGAATGAGGGTGGCAAAGATCGATGGACATATGACGAGCAATACAGAAAAGAACGAACCCCTGTTCTTGATTGATTTTAGAAGAGTGAGTGGTGACAATAATATTAGCACACACAATAAGATTAAGCAGTCGAAACTCGGGAAGGAGTTCAAACTGTTTAATCAAAGTGCCCTTGATCCAATTACGAGGAACACCATACAAAACTTCAACCACGACATTAAAATCACAAGTAGGACGAATCGGAAAAGGATAATGTTCCGGAAACACACGGTCAATACTAAGAAGCCCTCTAATAAACTCGGGAGTGATAGAGATGGACTTAATCCGAACCCACGTGGTGAAGGAAGGACCAATATCATTTATATTCTCAATATTGCAGAAAAACTCACGGACCCAGTCTAGATTTTGGTGTCTGGAGAAGGACAAAACCAAGTCTCCGCCTAATGGATCAAACAAAGGACGGATGGGAATAGACTCGAAGGTATTTGGCTGGACATGATGTTCGAGATGAATAGTCCTAGATGCAAACGACTTTCTGAATAACTTGGCTTGTTTGGCATAGGGAAATCGATCAGGATTAAACGAAGGACGAGACACTGTAGACTTGCGTCTTTTAAGAGCAGACATGGTGACACCAAACACAACTAAAGCCCAAACAAAACAATCCCCAAAACCAAAGCAACAGAGCACAGCAAACATTAGTAATAGTGTTAGAAAGATATCAAAACCTAGCATAATAACAATGACAGACTCAGAGCATAAGATGAATGACAGTATAATGAAAATAAGGCACTAATTTGTATCCAAAACCTAGCAAATCTGAACCAAACTCACTGGAGAAGGACAAAACCAAGTCTCCGCCTAATGGATCAAACAAAGGACGGATGGGAATAGACTCGAAGGTATTTGGCTGGACATGACGTTCGAGATGAATAGTCCTAGATGCAAACGACTTTCTGAATAACTTGGCTTGTTTGGCAGAGGGAAATCGATCAGGATTAAACAAAGGACGAGACACTGTAGACTTGCGTCTTTTGAGAGCAGACATGGTGACACCAAACACAACTAAAGCCCAAACAAAACAATCCCCAAAACCAAAGCAACAGAGCATAGCAAACATTAGTAATAGTGTTAAAAAGATATCAAAACCTAGCATAATAACAATGACAGACTCAGAGCATAAGATGAATGACAGTATAATGAAAATAAGGCACTAATTTGTATCCAAAACCTAGCAAATTTGAACCAAACTCACCAAATCAACATATAATTGAGAGATGAAAGAACACAATGAAAGGCATTAGAACAACAACTTAGAACCCTAGAACTATGGACACAGCAGACTACATAAAAACTCAGTAAACTCACCATTAAGAGGAAACCAAGACTCGGTGACAGTGTGTGAGGCAAAGGAGAAAAAAAAAAATAAACAAAAAAAACGAAAAGAAACAACCGAAAGACGACCTCCACAAGAGCCGAAAGAACAGAGGAAAAAAACAAAGAGAAAGGGAGGGAGAAACTTACCAAGGTTGAATCGGAGATTAAAATTTTCGCTCCCACGACCCTTCAGTTCATTTTTTTTTTCCCATTTTTCAATCTCTCTTCCCTAGGGCTTGGTTTGCGACCTCATTGGGCCTAATATTGCCATCCTCCTTCCTCTTTCATCTCTGATTCAACCTTGGTTAGTTTCTCCCTCCCTTTCTCTTTGTTTTTTTCCTCTATTCTTTCGGCTCTTGTAGAGGTCGTCTTTCGGTTGTTTCCTTGGCGTCACGTACTGTCACTGAGTCTTGGTTTCCTTTTAATGGTGAGTGCACTGAGTTTTTATGTAGTCTGCTGTGTCCATAGTTCTAGGGTTCTAAGTTGTTGTTCTAATGCCTTTCATTGTGTTCTCTCATCTCTCAATTATATGTTGATTTGGTGAGTTTGGTTCAGATTTGCTATGTTTTGGATACAAATTAGTGCCTTATTTTCATTATACTGTCATTCATCTTATGCTCTGAGTCTATCATTGTTATTATGCTAGGTTTTGATACCTTTTTTAACACTATTACTAATGTTTGCTGTGCTCTGTTGCTTTGGTTTTGGGGATTGTTTTGTTTGGGCTTTAGTTGTGTTTGGTGTCACCATGTCTGCTCTCAAAAGACGCAAGTCTACAGTGTCTCGTCCTTCGTTTAATCCTGATCGATTTCCCTCTGCCAAACAAGCCAAGTTATTCAGAAAGTCGTTTGCGTCTAGGACTATTAATCTCGAACGTCATGTCCAGCCAAATACCTTCGAGTCTATTCCCATCCGTCCTTTGTTTGATCCATTAGGCGGAGACTTGATTTTGTCCTTCTCTGGACGCCAAAATCTAGACTGGGTCCGTGAGTTTTTCTGTAATATTGAGAATATAGATGATATTGGTCCTTCCTTCACCACGTGGGTTCAGACTAAGTCCATCTCTATCACTCCCGAGTTTATTAGAGGGCTTCTTATTATTGACCATGTGTTTTTGGAACATTATCCTTTTCCGGTTCGTCCTACTTGTGATTTTAATGTCGTGGCTGAAGTTTTGTGTGGTGCTCCTCGTAACTGGATCAAGGGCACTTTGATTAAACAGTTTGAACTCCTTTTCGAGTTTCGACTGCTTAATCTTATTGTGTGTGCTAATATTATTGTCACCGCTCACTCTTCTGAAATCAATCAAGAACAGGGGTTCGTTCTTTTCTGTATTGCTTGTCATATGTCCATCGATCTTGCCACCCTCATTCTTCGTAAGATGATTGCTGTCTTTGGTAACAAGCAATTAGGTCTCCCTTATGGTTGTTTAATCAACCGTCTCTTTTCCCAGCTTGAAGTCCCAGTTTTAAAGGATGATGAGTATACCTTTCCATCTAGGCCCTTCACTAAGAAGACTGTTTCCCAGAGTCGTGCACATGTCAAGGGGGAGTCTTCTAAGATTGGTACTTCCGCAGGTACAGCAGCTGGACTTGCCGAGGAGGCAGAGATTGATGCTGCCACAGTTGGTGCTGAGGATGATGTTCCACCCCGGACTTTTTATGACCAGCTTCGACATTTCGAGGAGGTTGTGACACAGCGGTTGGGTTTTCTAGATGCTTGGTTTGATACCTTCGATGGCTGCCTTGGACAGTTAGAGCAGTCCGCCGTCCAAACTACTACTCTGCTCGCTCATATTATCTCTTTGCTTCAGATCCAGCAGTCTCCTCTTCCCCCTGATGCTTGACACAGATCTCTGTTTGTTGGACTGTTTTACTCCTTATCTCCCGGCCAAAAAGGGGAAGAATTTTTGAATGTTTGATGATACAGTATGGATATTTAGTGGATGATACAGTTTGGATATTTGGTGGTTTGGTTTGGATACTTTGATATACTTTGGCTATACTTGTTTTTTTTTGTATATCTATTGTTTTTGTGGACTTTTGTTATTTCATAGTCATTTGTTATATTCTTATGAAGTTCCACAGTTGTTTTTTTGTGTTGCTCTCTGATTCGCAGGTGGATGACTGATGGTAACTCAACCTTTTTGTAAGGCTTCAGTTTTGTTTTCTTAATGTTCAATAGGTTGTGTTAGGGTTGTCTAGTGCCTGTGTTTTAAGGAAAATTGTTTAGAAGAGTTTTGTCCGGGAATTGACAAAGGGGGAGATTGTTAGGTCCCTTTATTGTCAAATCCTTGTACAAACTCTGTTTTGAAAAGTTGTAATTTTTTCTTGTTTTTTGACTTTCCCACTCGAGCGGGACCATTGGCGCTCGAGCGTAATATGTGCTATCTCAGTAGTTGGTCATGTCTGTAAACATACTGAGAAGTGTGATTTTGCGCTCGAGCGTGTGTTCCAGCGCTCGAGCAGAAACCTGTTTGGTCACACGCGTATTTTACTGAATCCGCTCGAGCGGGCTGTCATGCCCTCGAGCGGAGATCGCGACCTCTGTTTTTTATATATATATCTGTTTTAAGCTGATTTTAGGGTTTACTTTTTCCTAGATCTTCTTTCAGAGTCTTAGGGTTTCTTTTGAAGTTTTGCTCTGAAGTTTTTGTGAGTTTTCCTTTATATATTTGAGAGGGTTTGAAACCTATGATCTAAGATACATACATCAAGGAGTTTGTTTCTTAATATTCAAGAGTGTTCTTCTTCGGTGGAATCCGAAGATTCAAGCGTGGAGCATCAAAGGAGTTTGATACTGTACGTGGTCGTTGATTCAACATTAGAAGCTATGGATTCAACTTCATACTGATCAATTCCGAGACAAAGGCTGTGGTGAAAGATTTTCAGAAGGCTTGAAGACAAATTTGATGCATTTGGTAATTTGTTGGTTGTCTTTGTAATTTTTCTTTCTTCAGTAGTGGATTGATTAGTGGCGTTTCGCCCGTGATTTTTTATTACAATTGAATGTGCTTTAATTGTGATTTTTCCACATAAAAATCGTTTGTATCGATTTATTGTTTATTTCGAAAACAACAATCTAAATCACTTTCGGAAGTGCTTGTTGATTTAGATTGTGTATTTTGATTGTTTGGGAATTGGAATATTTAAATCTTGATCTAATCATGAATCACTTAGGATTTTCATAATCAAATATGAGACACAAGTACATAACAGCTTTGGGATGCGCAATGAATACTACAGGTGAAATAGACATGCATTTTGTAAAAAAACGAAAAGTACATTAAGTGAACATCATATCTCATATTTATCAAACCTCAAAATTTTAGGATAGAAACATGGAAAAATTGTTGAACTTGTCCTGTTTGGTTCTCCTATACCCTGGGAAGCTGAAGTGTTCACGAGACAGGATATCATATATGGAAACTTCAGTTTTCAAAAATGGGCAAGTTACAGAAGGTTACTGTTTAGCTAAGTTACAAATTAATATAGTTCCAAGCTCCTAGAAAAACTTGAACCAGATTCAAGGGTATGAACACCACCAAGCTTAACTACAGGAAGTAGGTGTCTTCCCTCATTTTAAAATTGAGTTAACATACTGGAAGGAATCTGAGGAAACCAAGAATGTGCTCCCCAAGTCTTGACAGACAAAACTGTAGGGTATGTGTACATATACCACACCCATGCCATGTTGTCTCGTGTCCGAAATTGGTATCTAACACAATATGTACTGATATAACACAGGTCCTTATAGGCAAAACTAATTGCAAAAAAGAAGCAACAATTCTCACCAGTGATCAGCTACTCCAGGAAATGCACAAGCAAGATACCTAAGAATTGCATGACTGCAAAGCATATCAAATGCATAAGATAGTCAATATAAGCTTAAAAACAGAATGTATAATTTAGAATGTTAAAAGAACAAAAAGATTGAAGAGCATCATCCCAAAATTTTGTAGATATAGCAGTGACCAACAGTCTCTACAATTCATATATGAAAAAGAATACGAACACTAGGAGAATGTGCATAACAGTGCCTTTAATGCCTAGAGTCCAAGTAATACAAAAACTATGCAAAGAACACTTGAATTGAACCAACCAGAAGCCATGGAGGGATAAGCAAACTAAACTTTGCATTTTGAACCAGATACATATCTTATGGCTTCGTAAGACATGAAACTTCTAGAATTTCATCATTCAATTACAGGAATGACACAGAATCAAGGGCCAACTACCTAGGAATGACATAAAATTTGTGAAAATGCATTACGCCCCACTAATTTTCCCAGTTATACAATGAATCCAATTTGTCAAAATAAAAAAAGGCCAAGTTATCATAGGATCTGAGATTCTGAATATGGCCAAAAAATATATATCAAATCTAAATTTTAGGATGTGGCCAAAACTATATTAAACTATCTCTCTTTATATAAATTTTAGGACGTGACCAAAATTTGAAACTAAAATAGATTGTGAGGCATGAGAAATACACATTGATCTTTAACATCATTAATGCCAAGTGACTAGTATTAATCCATAGTTGAAGAGGCAGAATGAAAATTCTACGAACCTCTCAAACAGCTTAAACCTTCCATCAACTATTGCTGGCACTTGTCTCATAGGGTTTATTTCTGAAATGAAATTAGCATAAAGGAAAAAAAAATAATTTGCATTCAGTCAGTACCTTCCTCACATATTTGTTTCAGGCTGTCAGTAAAAGCACTTTCTTTTCTTTTTTTTTGTCAAAAGCGCTTTCACCGTATGTTTTAAGTTCACTTGAAGTACATGCTAAGGTTTAACTAAATATTTTGTAGGTAAAACAGTTCAAAAAGAACAAACTTCATCAGGGGAGTCCCACATAGTATTTAATGTGGTACACCAAATAATTAATACAGACCCCAAGACAGATATGCATGTAGGTAAGAGGAACATACTTCAAAGCTCTACCTCTACTATCATATCATATGGTGGCATTCATATGCCACCAAACTTGAAGAAAAAAGTGACAAAATTACTCATAAACAGTCATATTACTTTTTTACAAGGACATTAATCTTATACTTCCTCATACTTTCCTGTACACGGGAATCAGGATGTGTCCCCTTCACCACTTTTTAGTAGAATTAACCTATCAAATACACATGTATGTCTGTTCTGTATATACATTTGTAAGCATATACAAATATATGTAGGTATAAACTTCACATTGTTTTGAAATTCTGTATCCATCAGTTTTGGTGACTTTACAATGCCAATTTTCCTTCTTTCTTTGCAAATCAATTCTATAGTGTTTGGGGTTTGCTTTTTTTAGTCTTCAGTGAATTTTTTTAAAAATTCAAAAAGTCTTAAGCTTTTGAGTTCTACTCAACCAAACCAACCGAAAATTGAAAAAAGCCCAAAAAGAACACAAGGGAAAAAAAATAGTCAAAAACAGTGACATTTTGGGCTCTTCTTTTGGTTTTTTTGTTTGGATTTTTTCAATTTTTAAATTTTTTTAAAATTCGTCTCGTAAAAGTAAAAAATTGACATAATTTTGAGGAAAAAAAATCACCAAACAAAAAAAGCTGAAAAAAAAAATATGGTTTTTTTATGGGTTTGTAACGAAGTCGATTGCTAATCACAAAATGATAATTAAGTTCACTAATGCACATACATTCATATAAGCACATGTAATTAAGCAAGAATGTTTGGAAACAATATGTTTTATGTAAACAGATATTGAAACAATCACCTTTAAATTCAGGATTCAAGTGTTCACGTTTAACCAAATCGACTTTAATCTCCTCAAAATCTATCCCATTTACCCTACAAAATCAGATAGAAATATAAATTTGAGCAAAAGAGTGTTTTTCAATCGATGAATTAGGGAATTTTGAGGGAGATATGATTACTTGCAGAAGATGAGAACAGCGCGAGATGGTTGTGACATTCGATCAACGTACAGTTTTAGCCTCATCTTCTCAATCTCGCTCTCTCAAATCAATTACAGTGTTTGGTAATCAGGAATCAGAGTGTTTCTCTGTATGTATCGTGATTTTTCAATCTGGTTTTTGAGGCTTCAGCTGAGCTGAGCTGTGTGTGGTTTTGTTATTGATAAGCCATGAACCGGGTACGGATACACCCGATCCTTTCCGAAAATACTCGGGTTGAATCAATATATTTTTGGATAATAAAAAAATTATAAATAATATTTTGTAGGACTTGTCAAAAATATAATTTCTTTTACATTTAAAAAAATTACAAATATCTTATTGATAGAATTTTTTATGCAACTGTTCTAATAGAAAATAAAAATAAAATTATACAAACTTTTTAATATCAAAAATAATTATTATATTTCATTCACACACTACCAAATACATCTATCTATCTACACCATAACTGTATACTTCAATCCTTTTTTTCTTTTTTCTTTTAGAAGAAAATCCTCACATTCTTCCGTAGGTTCAGGGCAGTGCCTCTTACAGAGATCACTAAAGTATCCTGTTGTTCGTCTGTAGGTCCAGGGCAACAGCCCTTGCAGAAATTACCAAAGTATCCTGTTGTCCGTTTACAACCTAGGAACTTGCCATAATTTCCTAAGACAATCTCTGCTTAAGTCAAGACTCGAGATCATCAATGTATCTTGTTATCCATTCCGAGTAAGGAGACTATAACCTGAGAATTTGCCCTAACTTCCCAAGACAAGTTCCGCTTAAGTCAAGATTCAATATTACTAAGGTAAGGTGTTCTGTTGTCTTTTCCAAGTAAGGAGACTACAAACTAAGGTGTTCTGTTGTCCTTTTCAAGTAAGGAGACTAAAACATGGGAAGTTCCGCTTAAGTCAATATGAGACTAACCTCCTAACCAACTGCACTACGCTTAGAAAATTGGCTCAAAAAATTTTGAACTTGAAACCTTAGATTTTAACCCCAGGCCTTTACCAAGTTTCCAAACACCCTTGGGTTGCTTCAATCCTTTTCAAGTATAACCTAAATGCTTGTAAGGGTGGTGTTGATAAAGACTGGGAGATAATGAGCAATGATTGAATGAAGTGGTGACCAATGCTAAGGAGTATCTCCTGAATATTATTTAATATGAAGAAATATACAAAAGGTTTTTAAAAAATATGTAAATATATTAAAAAGAGTATTGATTTTAATAAAAATATAATTAAATTAATAAAAAATATTATATTTTATGAATATTTCGTCTTTTATTTATACAGTAATAATTAACCAAACCCATAAATAGAAAATAAAAAAAGGTATTATTTTCATAAGAAAAATGAATTGTACAACCACTCATAAAAAAAAAAAAAAAATCAATATTCTTGAAACTCTATATGTTTATATTTTTGGATTAACCATTATGTATATTCTTTCATATTTTTTAATTATTCGATAAAAAATTATAAATCTTATCTTCTTTACTAATTATAATACTTTAGACTGTATTTGATTCAAGGATTTAGGAACAAATTTAAAAAAGAAAAGAGAAAAGAACAATAAATTATAAATAAAATATACATATGTTTCATATGTAATTTTACACAATTTTTTTCATTTTAAATTATTTTCTAAATTCATAAATCAAACACCATATTAAACTATTACATGACCAAGACACTCAATAATCACAATAAAAATGTTGGAAACCTTAATAATAAATTTGCTAAAATTTTTAGATTGCGTTTGGTAAAACTTTTTAAATATAATTTGATAGTAGGAATTATATTTTGAATTTGTGAGTTTTGGAATTATGATTTAAGTGTAGAAAATTTGTTTGGTAAAAGAATTTTGAAAAGAGTTTTGAATTGAGTAAGAAATTTTTGATGTGACATATGATATTTAATACAAAAACTTATAACTCATAACCAGACACACAACTCAAAATTCTATTAAAACTCATAAAAAAATCAAAAAATATTTTTTTCCAAATATATAAAAATTAATGGGTTCGTTTGGTTTGTATTTCTGAAAAAATTTTGGGAAATTTTATCTACAAATAAGTTTTTAAAAGTAATCAAACCACACAAATTTTCCCAAAAAAATTTCTCAAAACTTATAAACCAAACAAGTTTTCCAAACAAATCTCTCTCTCACACGCATTAAATCAATCACTTTTTCCAAAACTCTCTCTCAAAATAATTTTTCAAAACATCTTTTGAAAAAAATCAAACCAAACAACTCTTCGTACTTTTTATCTCTAAAACACAAACCAAACATACCCATTTGTCAATTACAAAAAAATAAAAAATTTATTGTTCCGATCAACTAACTAGATTACCAATTAACTTAAATTTTCTTGCCTAAAATAAAATTTTTAAATTGAACGTAAAATTAACTTTAGAAAATTATAAACAAATACAAAACACAAATAAAAAGGCAGAATTAACTTTGAAAAAGCGTTACAACACAGGCTCAGGCTCTCTAATATTAATCCAAGCACAAACGCCCAGTGTACATCGTAGTCAAACTGCTAGCAATCCTCGGTGCGGGAGCCGACTGCACATGTGGGCTCCATGTGACTAAGCCGCTCGCTCATAATTTTGCAATACGATGATCCACAACACGATGACGATGGACCCATTATGAACTGGTTAAGGCTTGGTAGTTATCATATAAAGGTTTTTTTTTTTAAATTAAAAATAAAATTATAAAAAGGTATAATTTATTCATTTGATAAGATTTATTAAATTACTAATCTATGTAAAAAATTATATTAATTTAATATTAAAATTATAAGATCAAATTATATTTATTGAAAAAGTAATAAATTTCATTTATTTCTTAAAACAAATTTAATTTAATTATATAATTATTAATGTTTAATTATCTTTATTTTTACTTAAATACTTTATTTAATAGGTCCTACCAAATAAATAATTGAAATAATTGAGATGAGTCTTTAGATATGCCCACGGAGGTCCAAAATTAGATTACCACACACCATATGGTTGCCTAATGTTATACCAGTCCTTTTCATTCATAAAAATTAATTTTTTTTGGCACTTCCTACAAAAATACTGATAAAAAAATTAAAAAATTACTACAAAGTTAACCTCAAATGTGCTCTTAATGGGTATCATTTAGATTAACCGTTATAATTTAAATTATTTATCTTATAAAATTTATCGAACAAATGTGATTTGTAGATGAATGTAATCTTAATTATTAATAAATTTTGTGAGTAGATGATATGCTTAATAAATCTTATAAAATAAATAATTTTAATCATAAAAATCAATAAATAAAAAAAGGTAAATTACATTGGCGCTTCTGAGGTTTTTGTTTAATATAAATTTCCTTGCCTTTTGAAAAATTACATTATCTTCCTTGAGGTTTGTAATCTCATTATAAATTTACCCTTGAATTATTTATGTCATGTCCTAAAATTTTTTAAATGATTATTTAGCCCTTTTTCCTTTTTTTTTTCTATCACCATGACTACATTTTACAATTTTTCATCGTTAAATTTTACTTGAACATATTCTTATTCAGTGATAACTTTATATAAAATTTTCAAACAAAATGATATAACTTAATGGTGACTTTCACTTTAAAACAAAATATTCATAAACATGATTTATATTTATAATAATATCATTATCACAATATTTTTATAATAATTTTGTATAAATTTTTATATATGATTAAAAAATTTTATTTTTATTTTCATCATCATTTTTTTCTCGTCTATTCACTCACATTTATTACAGTACTATCAAATATCGTCATTCATATTTATTATAGTATTACTGAATTCTTAAGTATATATAGATTAGGTGTATCTAAAAAATAAAAAATATATATTTAAAATATTTAAAAAATTAGTAAAAATTAAAAAAAAATTTGATTTTTTCGTACGAGTTAAACCAAATAAATGATTGTTCTTTCTGTTAAAATAACATGAATAAAATATTAATATTATTTTATTATTTTATATGTATAAAGATTAAGAGATAAATATGTCATTTTAATCTGACAAAAAATAAATATAATTTTTCAAATGTAAAAGAAGAATCTATGTTAAACAAAAAAATTAAGAGATGACAGTGTAATTTATCCATAAAAAAATAAAAAAACAAAAAAACAAACCTCGAATTTCACAGAAATAAAATAAAAAGTGAGAGTCCATGTTAACAACTTGAACTTGTCCACTTTTTATAAAATTTCTTCAATGAAACGAAAGCCTTGAAGAGCGAGCGTAAATACGTAAACTTGCAAAACAGCAACAATAATGGCAAACGCTATTTTTAAATCCCCCCCTTCCTCGTTTTCAATCCTCTCTCTCTCTCTCTCTGTCTATCTCTACATATATATATATATACATGTAAGTATATGTAGTATGTAATGTGCATCATCAGTGCATGCATACATACACACATGAGTACATGTACCACTGACACACACACAGAGCAACCACCTCAGACTCTCATTTCCATTTCCATGGCTGCATTTATGTTTTCTCTCTCTCTACCTCTCTTTTAGCTCCATGTGCCCTTCCCATAAGTCTCTCTCTCTATCTCTCTCTTCCAGGGGTAGAAACCAAGATGAGAAATTCTGGGTCTCTCTCAAATGAAGAAAATCTGAAGATTTAACACCCCCCCCCCTTGTTCTACTCCCCCCCAAAAAAAAAAAATTACAGGTTTGAAGTTCAAAATCTCTCGCTCTCTTTCTTTTCTTTTTTGTTTTTGTTTTTGTTTTTGTGGGTTTATTGTCACTCACTTTTTCAAGTTTGATTCTCGGAATTGCTGAGTTTATTAGTAGAATATCGATTTGGGTCATGAAAGTGGAATAAATTTCAACTTTAGCTGAGTTTCAGAGATGAAGATCTGTTATTTGCTTTTATTTGTTTGAATTTGTGTCTGGAATTGAAGATTTAATAGTGCTTCTCTGTGAATCTGGTGAGCTTTTACTGTTTAATCTCTTTGTCTCTTACTTTCAATGATGTAAAGTTGGTAGATTTTTGTTTCTATTAAAGATTATGCTCTTTTTTTTTCTTTTTTTTTTTTTTAATTTTGTTTCATTACCTTTACTTTTATGCTAATCCACTGTTTGGGTAAAGTTCACGTGTCTTTAGCTACCCTCAAGGGCCTTTAGCTTCAAGAATGCTGTATATGCCTTCTTAATTTTAATTTTTTAATGTTTACAAATTTAAAATTCTTAGTTTAAATGGGTAGATCTTAGCACATGGTTCTCAAAAAGAAAAAAAGAAAAAAAAAAGTGTTGACCAGAAAATATTTTCTAAAAAAAAAATGGTTTCTGAATCTCAACTAGTGGGTGTTTTAAAATATTTTCTTGTTATTTACATCAAGATTTTTTTTCCCTGCTAAGAGATCTGATCTTTGGGGTTCTATTAGTTTTTTCCACCAAAATAGGTGTGTATTTTACTGTCACTGGTTCTATTTAAATGATTTTATTCAATTTTTTATAGATAGGTTTCTTTGTCTTTATTAGAGTTCGACAATAGGGGTGCGCAGCCGATATATCGATCCGTCAAAATCGACTGAACCGAACCGATCCGCCGCATTTTGGACGGATGCGTGATGACGAACGGACGGTTGCGGATTTATTTTCTCTAATCCGCCAATCTAGTGGATGGATGGCGGATTTGAGATTCCTTTGACTGCAACCGAACCGCCAAACCGCGAACACCCCTAGTAATTTATAAAACTTTGTGTTTTTAGTTTGTTTAAATATTCTGTTTGTGTTTTCAATTAAAAAAGAGTTTAAATATTCTGTTGAAAAAAAAATTTCAACTTGAATATCTTTTTTGAATTGAAAAAAATAAACATATTATTTATCTATAATTTTTGATTTTTAAATCTAACTCTAAAAATAATAAATAAATAAAGATGATATATGTTGGTTGGTTTTTGTTTTCAAAAAACAAATATATATGTAACAATACAGAGGCATACAACCTCTACTACTGTTTTGTTCATGATTTTGGTGGTTTGAATTGTTTTTATATTTTAAGAACCATAGATTGTAATATTTCATGTAATACTTTTATGTGGATGAGGCATGCTGTGATTGTAATACAAACCGATTCGCATCCATCCGCCAAACTGCCAAACCGCTCAATCCACATCCGTCGGATTGGCGGACGGATGCGGATTGATTTTCTCCAATCCGCCAATCTGACGGACGGATGTCAGATTGGAGGTTCTGTGGCCGCAACCGACCCGCGCCCACTCCTATTGGACAATATAATAATTGTTATAATTAGGCTTCATATGTTAACATTCTTGAATCCAGTTAACAAATTCAAATTCAGCTCATAACGGCTCGCAGAAAAGCTGTTTCACAGCTTGTTTTCTTGATCTGTCTGCTTGGGATTCGCTCGCAAACTTGGGTATCTTTCACATGTGGCAATTATGCTTTGATCGTTTTGAATTGTCTGCGGTAATTGTTTTTATCTCTTGGGAGAACATGGAAAACTCTGTTTCTGTGATGCTATTCATGTGTATTATTGTATAGCATGATACACTTCTATGAATTATGAATATAAGAAGGTTGTTCTACTACGACCTGGGTGTCACGGGTTCAAACTATGGAAATATTCTCTCCGTCACTCTCCCCAGATCCTGCATTAGCAGAAGTTGTATACTGGGACTTCCCTTTTAGGACAATGATCTACAAACAAAAATTTTATCGCAGGAATCCCACCAAAACGATGTGTTGATAACTTTTTTTAAAAAAATAATATACCACTTTAATGACCGTGTAGGTTAGTCTTTGGAGTATTATCAGAAGTTATATTGGTTTACTTTTTTATTTTTCACTATTCTTTATGGATTAACATTGGATTCTTTATTGTAATAGTTGAGTCATTGAAGAAATTTTTTAGGATTTTTAAGATTGGATGCTTGAGCTTCCGAGAAGCATATATTTTGAAGATTGCCATCTTCGGGCTCAACCTTTGAGGTTCAAATCCCTTACATCTTTTGCTCAGCCTTCTTCTCATTATGATGTGCACCTCTTCTTTTCCATTCATACTTTGGCTCATTTGATAATTTGATTTTTAGGTTTTATGTATTTATTTTTATTATGTCTAGTTTACTTCATTGGAATCCTAAAAGAAATCAATTCTTTGAGCAGTGAATGTTTCTAAAAAACGGCTTAAAGGTCATAAGGTGGACAATCTGCTCATTTGTTAAATTGGTTATGCTTGAGAAAACGTACTAAGATCTTTCAAATTGTCCTACTTTTCTATTGATCTGTATCAGCATGTCAACATTTGTCTTTATGTCTCACCTAGTTCAAACTTAAATTTAATGTCATTTTTTTGTCACAGAGATGGAGGCCCAAGGCCATGGACCATGTATATCTTCTTGTTTTCTGTGTATGCTTGTTTTTGTTTTACTGCTTTATTGTGTGATTGAAATCGCGATTTGCAAATCTCGTTGGAAAGTAACAAATGCCCCAACTTCAGGGGCACTTTATATTACTTTTCTACGCTAGAAAGTTGTCTTTGTGAAATTTCCTTTAAGATTTAACTTCATTTTCTTTCATGTTCTTTATTCTGGCAAATTTCATGAAATGTAGCAACATTTGTGTGTCAAATATAGTACTGCTTTTGAATCATAGGGCCTACTGTTATGGCTGCACTCTGTCTAAGCTAATGTGCTCTGTCTGTTTGTGTGTTGCATATTTTATTTGATGTTAATTCATGGGGAATTACCTGTACAAATTAGTCTGATATCTTAATTATTCGTTATTCCTCTACACATTCGCTTTTACTTCACAGATACTAAATTGACTTTTCCTTTTTCTCAGGTACCCTCAAACATCTTCATCTCTTTAGGAATTCGCATATCTTCTAATAACGATACCCCAAAGATGACAATCAGCAACCTCAAGATAGGAGTGGATGTGGTTAGTGCCCATAACCTTCTTCCCAAAGATGGGCACGGTTCATCAAGTGCTGTTGTGGAGCTTTATTTTGATAATCAAAGGTTCCGTACAACTATCAAAGAGAAAGATCTGAATCCCGTTTGGAATGAGAGCTTCTACTTCAACATATCAGACCCTTCCAACCTCCACAATCTTACTCTCGATGCCTATATCTACAACAACATCAATGCCGGTCACACTACGTCCTTCCTCGGGAAAGTTTCCCTCAATGGGACATCGTTTGTTTCCTATTCAGATGCTATTGTCTTACACTATCCATTGGAAAAGCGTGGAATCTTTTCACGTGTTAGAGGGGAGCTTGGCCTTAAAGTTTATATTACTGATGATCCATCCATAAAGTCCTCTAACCCACTTCCTGCAGTTGAAGATACCCGAGCACGTGCCCAATCAGTTCCAAATGCTGCACCAAACATGTTTTCTAATGTCAAAACTGAGACAAGACGTACCTTTCATCATCTTCCGAACACTAATCATACCCAACAGCAACAACAGAATTCTTCTGTTGATGTTGCAGTACCACATCATGTGAGGGTTGATGAGATGAAAGCTGAAACCGAGCCTCCGAAGCTCATCCGCATGTACTCTGCTTCATTGGCACAACCAGTTGACTATGCACTTAAAGAGACAAGCCCATTCCTTGGAGGAGGACGAGTCGTCGGGGGACGTGTTATTCATACAGACAAAGCTGCGAGCACTTATGATCTTGTTGAACAGATGCACTTCCTCTTCGTAAGAGTTGTCAAGGCTCGTGATCTTCCCGCCATGGATGTTACAGGAAGTCTCGATCCATACGTGGAAGCGAGAATCGGAAACTACAAAGGGATTACGAAGCACATCGAGAAACAGCAAAATCCAGTGTGGAATGTGGTATTTGCCTTCTCGAAAGAACGTATGCAAGCGTCGGTACTAGAAGTCGTGGTCAAGGACAAGGATTTGGTCAAGGATGACTTTGTCGGCCTTGTTAGGTTTGAGATCAACGAGGTGCCAATGCGAGTGCCGCCAGATAGTCCACTCGCTCCAGAGTGGTACCGGCTTGAAGATAAGAAGGGAGAAAAGATAAAGGGTGAGCTAATGCTAGCGATCTGGATTGGCACTCAGGCAGATGAAGCTTTCCCCGATGCATGGCATTCCGATGCAGCTACGCCCATTGACAGCTCAGCGGCTGCCTCAACGCTAATACGCTCGAAGGTCTATCACGCACCACGGTTATGGTATGTGCGTGTCACCGTTGTTGAGGCTCAAGACTTGGTTCCTACAGAGAAAAATCACTTCCCTGATGTGTATGTCAAGGCACAGATCGGAAACCAAGTTATGAAAACAAAAAATGTTCAGGCTAGATCATGCAACCCGCTTTGGAATGAGGATCTCTTGTTTGTTGTTGCCGAACCTTTCGAAGATCACCTTATACTTACAGTTGAGGATCGCTTGGGTCCCGGCAAAGACGAGATCATCGGACGGACTATCATTCCTTTGAGCATTGTAGAGAAACGTGCTGATGATCGGATCATCCATTCTCGATGGTTTAACCTGGAAAAGCCAGTTGCTGTGGATGTGGATCAGATAAAGAAAGATAAATTCTCTAGTAGGCTCCATCTCCGAGTCTGTCTAGACGGAGGCTACCACGTACTTGATGAGTCGACTCACTACAGTAGTGATCTCCGACCCACAGCAAAACAGCTTTGGAGGCCATCAATTGGGGTTTTAGAACTTGGAATTTTAAATGCCGTAGGGCTCCATCCTATGAAAACACGAGATGGGAAAGGCACGTCTGATACGTATTGTGTAGCAAAGTACAGTCACAAATGGGTCCGGACTCGAACCATAGTTGACAACCTGTGTCCTAAGTATAACGAGCAGTATACTTGGGAGGTTTTTGATCCAGCGACGGTTCTAACCGTTGGTGTTTTTGATAATAGCCAGCTTGGGGAAAAGGGTTCAAATGGTAACAAGGATTTAAGGATTGGGAAGGTTCGGATTCGTATTTCTACGCTCGAAACAGGCCGTATTTATACACATTCCTATCCGTTGCTTGTTCTTCACCAGACCGGCGTAAAGAAAATGGGGGAGTTGCATTTGGCAATTCGATTTTCGTGTACATCATTCGTAAACATGCTCTACATATACTCGCGACCACTTTTGCCCAAAATGCATTATGTCCGGCCTTTTTCGGTAATGCAACTCGACATGCTCCGCCACCAAGCGGTCAACATAGTGGCGGCACGACTAGGCCGAGCAGAGCCACCACTTCGGAAGGAGGTAGTGGAATACATGTCTGATATGGACTCGCACCTTTGGAGCATGCGCCGTAGCAAGGCGAATTTCTTCAGGCTAATGTCAGTTTTCTCAGGACTTTTTGCCTTGGGCAAATGGTTTGGGGATGTGTGCTTGTGGAGGAATCCCATCACAACAGTGCTTGTACATATTCTCTTTATCATGCTAGTTTTCTTCCCTGAACTGATTTTGCCCACAGTTTTCCTCTACATGTTTCTTATAGGAATATGGAACTTCCGCTACCGCCCTCGGTACCCTCCTCACATGAACACCAAGATCTCACAAGCTGAGGCCGTGCACCCTGACGAGCTCGATGAAGAGTTTGACACATTTCCTACAAGTCGGAGCCCGGAGCTCATCAGAATGAGGTATGATCGGCTCAGAAGCGTGGCGGGTAGGATTCAGACCGTAGTGGGAGATATTGCAACACAAGGGGAGCGAGCTCAGTCGCTGTTGAGCTGGCGGGACCCTCGTGCATCAGCCATCTTCGTCACGTTCTGTCTTGTGGCTGCCATAGCACTTTACGTCACTCCTTTCCAGGTGGTGGCGGCTTTGGCGGGGATTTATGTTATGAGGCATCCGAGGTTTCGCCATTGGCTACCGTCAGTGCCGATCAACTTTTTTCGCCGATTGCCGGCTAGGACTGATAGTATGTTGTGATTTTGTTGGATTTGTATTAGGAGCAGAGCAACAATGTTGTTGTTACTTGGAATTAAGGTGACTTTATTGTAGAACATCCAGAACTACGAATAATTCTTGTATGGACTTTTAACATACTTTATATATGTATAATAAATGGTTGTTAAGAGTGGAATTAGCAGGGAGAACAACGCTTAGCAGTCTTAATGAGTTTGTTATTCATTGAAATTATACTAATCTGTTAGATATTGCCTCTTGTGCTCTCTCTATTTCTCCAAAATTAAGTCTTTGCTTCTTTTTTTTTTTTTTTTTTTTTTGTTAACCCAAACATCCATATTTTCAACCTCAATTTTTTAGTCCAAAAAGACAAAAAGTGCACTTTTTTAGTCTTCCCAAACTTGGCCTCACTTTTAACATACTTTATATATGTATAATAAATGGTTGTTAAGAGTGGAATTAGCAGGGAGAACAACGCTTAGCAGTCTTAGAGCCTGTTTGGGAAGGGAGTTACGGGCTAAATTAGCCACTACAGGACGAAATTGGCTAAATTAGCCACTACAGGACAAAAAGGCTTCAGGATTGCATCTTACATACAAGGAGGCGTGAAATTACCAAATTACCCCTGGGTCTTTGTTCACACTATCCCATTCTCGGGAAAAAAAAAGAAGAACATTTTCCACGTCATGTGTACAAAATCGTGAATTGAGCCACGTAAAAAAATAAAGTTAAAAATTAATGTATACAAAAAAAAATTTACCAAATTAATGTACCAAAAAAAATTTACGCGACAAATTAATATACCAAAAAAATTAATTTACCAAAAATCTTTTTTTACATTTGCCACGTAAAAAAAAAAAAGAACATTTACGAAATTAATGTATACAATTTTTTTTTGACAAAACTGTAAATTAAAAAAAAAAAGAACGACAAAAATACGGCTCATCCAAAAAATAAAAAATAAATTTTAAAATCAAAAAATGAGCATTTGCCACGTAATTTACAAATACATAAAACACATGAAACCCCATTTTTGAAATATAAACACAAATTAATGTATACAAAAAAATAAAATGACAAAAACGTAAATTAAAAAAAAAGAACGACCAAAATACGGCTCATCCAAACAAAAACAAAAATAAAAAACATAACAACAGAAATTAGCATTTACCACGTAATTTATAAAAAAATAAAACACACGAAAACCCATTTGTCAAATATAAAACCAAATTAATGTATACAAAAAAAAAATTACAAAAACGTAAATTAAAAAAAAAACGACAAAAATGCGCCTCATTCAAAAAAAAAGAAAAAAAAAATAAGACATAGTTAAAAATAAAAATCCAAGACAAAAAAAAACCATAGTTCAAAAAAAACATAGGTATAGTAAAAAAAAAAAATTAAAAAGACAAAAACATAAATTCCCAAATAAAAATCGAAAAATTTAAGCACAATACCCCAAATCCAAACCCAAAATGAAAAAAATTTGGACATAATTTGGTCTCCAAAGACCTCTTCAATTACTCCGATTTCGTTGGGGAACCATAATACTTGATGGTAGGTTGACGCTAACGATCGCATGGCGTGTAACCATGTTCTTCCCAAGATTATATTGTAAGTGGAAGGGACTTTCAATGCCCAGAATTTCACCTTTTTCGTTATGCTTCCTGCTCTGACTGAGAGGATTATCTTGCCCACTGGCTACTCTGGCATTGAGTTGAATCCGATCAGGGGAGATGTTGCAGGTGCCAAGTCTTTGTTCTCCAGTTTCAGTTGTTTGAAGGTTTTGTAATACATTATCGCACATGAGCTCCCTTGGTCAATCAAAATCCGCTTGATGTTGTAATTCTTGACGCGTAAAGTGACAACTAGTGCGTCATTGTGAGGGCATTATATCCTTGCTAAGTCTTTATCTGAGAAAGATATGACATTCGTGGCCTCCGTTCTCCCCTTTTGGATGGCAGGTTGTGCACTTAATACCTCCCTTAAGTGCTCAGCCTTTTGATCATTCCCCTAAGCTCACATACTCGCTCAGGTTCGAATATCCCATGTATTACATTTATTACGCCTTGAGGTGGAGCGTCGATCGGCATCCCGTTTGGGTTGTTGTGGTTCTGGGGGCTGGCTGTGTTCCTCCTTCTATGTACTGGTCCAAGTGCTTAGCTGCCACTAACTCCTCCAAATGCTGCCTTAACGGCGTGCAATTTTCAGTGCGGTGCACCTTTTCATCATGAAAGGTGCACCAGGACCTCTCGTCATAGTTTTTTTGTGCCTCTCCCAATTTTGCTAGCCATCTGACAAAAGGTTCATTGCGTATTTCACTGAGAATTCGGTAGATCGCTTTTTTGAACACCGTGGTAATGGCAGTGCGAACTCTTAACCACCTTTTGTCTGGTCCTCTCTGTTGGCTTGCCTGCCTCGTCCATTCCTACTTGATCATTCTACCACGTTGACTTTTGCTGTAGTCTTTTTATCTGGTATTGCTATTGTGCCAGATTTTGCTTTAGCACGGGCGCTATCTTCCTCTAGGGAAATTATTGGATAATCCGGGAACTCCAGGTCATCATCTTACGTGGTGCTCCCAGCCAATCTTAATGTGCCATTCAAGCATTTTGGCCTTTTGACTACCCTGTCAACATTCCATATTAAGGTCTCAAACTTAGTTGACGGACGTTAACTTTTGACACTAGAAATCATTTTCTAATGTTTCAAATTGCCGCTTCAGATTTCAAAAATCAAAATTTGAAATTTTGCCATCAAAAGGCAACCAATGAAACTGTGATCATCTCACCTCTCTCTCTCTCTCTACAATTGTTCATGCTCACTTTTTCTTTATCACTTTCTCTCTACAATTGTTCACGGCTAGCAGCACCACAAAACCTCCATTGTTGGCAACATTGCAACACCAATTCCACTGCTTTGCACAGAAAGCATGTTTGCAGAAACCACTACCATAACCTGGCCCCAAGATCCTCTTCAACATCTCCGACAACACAACCTATTATCACCACCGCCACAATGCCATCGGTGTTGATACACTGTCATTTATGAGGACTGTTCGGGTTGTATTTTGTGGATTATATTTTATACTGATGGCCAGGGACCTCTGGTGGTTTTGTAGACATAGAGATGCAATGAACAAAACAGATTGTGTTTCTCAACTCTCCACTTTTCTTTTCTTCAACATTGTTTGGAACCAAATCATTTTAGATGTGAGATTTCAAAATGAAAAAAATAATGTATTCAAAAGGAATTGCAGAGATTCTGTTTTTGCTTTTAAAATTCCTCCAGATCTGGTATTTTAAATTCAATTCACTTCAAACATATCAAATTATATTTTTAAATGTAAAATTTATTAAATTCTGTCAAGTTCCAAAGTTCGAAACAGGTTAAATTTTTTTAACAAATAAACTTACTTGAACACTCTTGCAAAACAAAGGCAAATTTTTTTATTATGTATTTACAGTATTTGTTAAAAAAAATTACAGGACAAATTTTCTTTTTTACAACAATGATAGAAACAGAAAAAGATTTTCTCAATTACAATAATATTAAGCTTGTAAAAAAAACTCAGTAGTCAATCCACTAAAAATCTATTAATCTAACAAAAACATACAACACCAAACACATCTATCCCTTTTAACAAGTAAACTTCCAACCAATGCTTCAATTACATTTAAACATCCCTTTCATTCACATTTTTGGCAGCAATGGCATCCCTTCCTTGTAATCTCTTATGCAGCAATGGCAGCAAAGTTGCTTGTCAAAATTAAAGGAATAGTCATCACGCATCATGCATCATGCAAATGAGATATGGAATTTATATCAAATTCAAGCAAAACCTATCATTGTGAAGCCAAACCAATGATCATATATCAGTCTCAGACTCTGTAGAATGAAACTCAACATATAAAAATTAGAACTTTTCTTTACAAACTGATGTAAAGCCTATCATGTTAGCTTATTGAGTTACATTTCACTTTTTAAACTTTTTTTTTTTATTAATGAATGTCATCTCAATTCACTACTACAACCAATAATCAAGTAATAAAATTCAACCAGTCTTTTCATCTATAATCTTATAAAGAAATAAAAAAACCATTCTACATATATAAAGCTCCATTACATAAATGCAGAAAAAACAAAAAAACACAACTTCAATTAAAATTTTGTCTTTCCTGCCTTTCCCTAGAAACATTGTTTGAAATTCTTTCTTTGCACTTGATCAAACTTCCAAAATATCATTCTTTGAGCACTAGCTGCCTTCAAAGTATTGCTTTGTGTGAGTCTCGCAACCCGCATGTACAGCTCCCATCTTACTTTTGTAGCTTCTCTGTGTAACTATCATTTTTCTAAACAACATATTAAAAGCATTATACAAATTAAGACTTTGTGAAGAGAACAACAAATGTATATCATAATATTAACAAATGAAGTCATCCGAATAAATAAATGAATTGTGTCAATATTTACCTGACTAAATTGGTTTACAACATCGACACTTTGCAACATAGTTGTAAATGGAATTTTTGCAAAGTCCATATCCTACACATAGAAATAGTTCATACTTTAAATTAATTACGACCATAATTTTAAGTATAAATACTAGATATTTTAATTTTGTGGATCAATATCAATGTTCAATACCTGAGTATGCATGGTCCACGGTGGGTAAGATTGACCATGTATGTTGGCATCTGCTGGTCTTACATAAGGGGACCCATTTGGTGGTTGGAAGGTTGTTGTATCATATGTGACATCAAGTGAGGCATGTGATGGTCCTTGCTTTACTTGTTTTGATTTTCCTGAGTATGTGCATAAATCACAAATAACTTATAGCATAAGAACTTTATTAAAAAAATATTATTACAGATGAGAATGTAACATTTATTGAGCAAGTAAATAGTTTCTCATGCTTGAATAAAAAAAATAAAAAAAGGGAAAATATTCTCACGCGAAGTTGATGCATCCTTGGACGGTTTTGTCTTGCGCTTTTCAAAATGCCCTTTAAGTCTAGTGTTTCGTACACCTTTCGATCTTGCTTGTGGGGGATCCAACACTGACATGTTAGTAGTATCACATTGTACGGTTTGATCTTCTTCAATATGCATATCTGTACCCAATCTCAACCTTTCAAACTCCCTTTCAATTTTTTCATCAAGTTCTACAAGTATCTTCTGGCAAATGTTCTTAAGGCTATCATTCCCTTGACTCTTGTATATAGTTGTACTAACTATACGTATCATACTATTACGCCATATGATCTCAGCCTCTTTACCATTCGCAATGGAATTGTTACCTTGTTCGTAAGCCATAATCCCTTTCTTGGCATCTTTTGTCCAACGTTTCAAAATATATTGACTTGGAATTGCAGTCAAATTTTTTATACTAAAAACCCTCAATGCATGACAACAAAGAACTCCTAATGATTCAAACTTCTTACAAGAACAAGAAATGTTGTTAGTGAGATGATCAAAGTGAACAATACGTACCCTTTCACTATTTTCTTCTTTCAACTCAAAGACATCAACTGTATCTTGACAATCAACTTGCTTCCACACCATTGCAAGACTATTGAGAAATTCATTTTCAAATAATTTAAATATCTTACAGGTGTAAACTTGAGCTGCATGACCCAAAATACCACTTTTTTTTACTGCTTTTTGAGGGGCACCTTGCTTGCATCGAAAATCTTCATCCAACTTTGAAGAATGCATACCTGCCACTAAATTGTCATATTCAATAACAAAGTTAGTTAGGCTAGTTGTTTTGCCTGCTATGTTATTCAAAACATTATTTGTACTTTCACTCCTTGAGGAAGCTTTAAATTCAGCGGTGAAACTATCCTTAGTAAATGCAGTGCTCCACTTGTGTCGAATCTTGTACATCATATTAAGCCACCGATGACTCTCCAAACTAAACTTTTGTATCACGTTATCCCAAGTTTGTTGAAATTCTAGTGTAGAATCACAATATTTTTGGCACTTGTTGAAAAGGTACTTGAACTCTGTGTTAGTATTTAATTCCCCCAAATGAGAAGGAGCATTTTTCGAAATATGCCACAAACATAATCGATGATGTGTATTTGGAAACACTACCTGAATAGCATTAGACATGGCTTGATCTTGGTCAGTAAAAATTGTAACTGGAGACCGATTCCCCATTGATTCTAAAAATGATTTAAACAACCATATAAATGAATCAGTGGTTTCATCCAAAAGGAAAGCACAACCAAACATCACATTTTGCCAATGGTGGTTAACACCAACAAATGGAGCACAAATCAAATTATACTTATTGGTACGATAGGTGGTATCAAAAACAACTACATCTCCAAAGCAATCATAATCAACCCTTGATCTCCCATCTCTCCAGAAAAAATTAGTCATGCGATTTTCTTGATCTACTTGAACTGTGAAAAAGAACATGGGATCTTCTGTATGTTTCTGCTTAAAATGATTCAATAGGCTTTGAGCATCTCCAGCACTAATCATCGTCATCTTTTGCTTGTTCACATAATTATAACAATCCCTTTTGGTAAAACCCACATTCTCACTGCCTCCAACTTCTTCTCTTAGATATGAATAAGCATTCTTTGTGCTTATACCTGCATTTATCATAGAATTAATCACACCTGCCTTCGGTTTTGAAATGTGACGAGCAGATCTTAGCAAATGTCGCTCTGATTGTAATGCAAGTTCATGATTATGTTCAGGATTGAAGGCAGTAACCCTCCAAATTCCATCTTCAACAGTTAAACGAACAAATGCTTTGCAACCAGTTCTAGTCTCCAGCCTATTCAATTTTTTCTCTTCAAAAGGGTCTTCATCTACTTTAAAACCCTCTTTACAACATAAAAATTCACGTTGTCTAATGTTCTTTGATCCACTATAATATCTTGGCTTTCCTTTCCGAATACTAAAACCCATTCGTAATGCATAATTATTGTATAAAGCATATGCTTCGTCTTCACTGTATACCACCTTATCTAACAAATTGTCGTCATTATTTTCTTGCCTTGCAACAAACATGCAGTCACGTTCACCTCTTTCAACATCATTAGAAGTGTTAATTTCTGCAATAATTCCGGTATTAAATGTTAGAAACTACAATCGTATTTTTATTACAACTATAAAAAAATGCCTGATTTAAGGCCTAAATCAAGAGCAATTTTTTCATGTTGGGAGGGTATGGCCAAGATGGTGCCTTTTACCATTTTGATTCATAAGGTTTCATTAATTTATATTAAAATTTGACAAGACAACATAAAAAATTAATAGTTATGATTGGTGGGGAGTAATATTGTTACATGATACTCTCTTAACACTTAATATTATTTTTTTTGTGACAAAAAACAAACAAACTACCCTATGTTACCATGTCTTGTGACAAAAACAAGCTCCTTCATGGTCTTACAAGGATTCCTATATTCTAAGGCCACATATAATAAAATACAAGTCCAACTCAGATTGGTGACTGTTCTATAAACTCAATATAGCCAATTTGAGCTCACACACACACACACACACACATACACACACAAAAGGAAAAAGAAGAAATATTATTTAAAATAGCTTTCAAACCTCAAAAAAAAAAAAATATCAACACAACTGTAGTTAAAAAAATTAATTAAAATATATATAAAAAAAACTTTACTAAAAACAAACGAAATCCAAAGAAAAATACACGCATAATTTTGTTTGGATTTTTATTTATTTTTAATAATTTTTTTTATATAGTTTAATCAATTTATTTTGTTTTTTTACATCTAGAATGTATTTAAAAAATACAAAAAAAAAAAATGATTATCATATAAAAAATTTCATTAAAAACAAACCAAAAAAAAAAATCACCTTAAAAAATAATATCTGAAAAATCAAACAAACGAAGCACAAATATCATCAATATAAGCCATCTTAAAACTATCTAAATAATTATCGAATCTCATATCACAAAATATGTCATAAATCATGAATATTTTGTAAAAAATTAATAAAATATACCTTCTTCAATTCGAAAATCTTCACTATTCATCACTTTGTCATTTAGCATAGTGTCAGAAAATAGGACCGGACTACTGCCTTTCTCCTCTTTTTTTGATTTTTCGGCAATGATGAATTTGCAGAGAGTATGGAGCTAGGTTTTTAGGGTTTGACTTTTGTTTTATATTTTTATTAATTTGTGGGGTTAAAATATTTTTTGAGATTCTTTATCTAACTGCTTTCCCACGATTTCCACTTCCGTTTTTTTCTTGTTTAGAAGTTAACAGACTTGACGTCTAGTTTAAGAGTTACTGAGTTGTCAATGTGATGGGACCTACTGACACCATGACAAAATAGAGTATTCTGATTGGTTAGGAGCACCACGTAAGATGATGACATGGAGTTCCCGGATTACCCAATAATTTCCCGAGATTTGTCTCCCCTTCTCTATCCTGACCATATCAATTAATTATTAAATATTATTTAATTTTTTAAATATAATAGGATAAATTACATTTACCTCCCCTAAGGTTTGTCTTAATTAAAGATATCTTCTATGTGATTTCAAAAATTACACATACCTCTCTTACTTTTGAAAATAATAGTCAGATTCCCCCTTCTCATTAAAAGAGCATTAACGATGTTAACTTGACAGTAGAATTGACCATAATACCCTTCAACCACATTGTGAAAAAACACAGTTGACACTCTCATTCATTCTTTCCTATAATAAATTAAACTTACATCCCCTAAGGTTTAGCATAATTACAGGTACCTCCTTTTTACAATATTCCGAATAGTTTTATTTCCCCAAAAATAAAAAATAAAAACTTACAAAAAAAAAAAGAACAAATACTC